ATGTCTGGCTTCTTTCACGTAACATGTCTTCAAGGCTTGTACAGGTTGGAGGTGTCAGGGCTCCGTTCCTGTTAACGGCTGAGTAATACTCCAGCGGATTGGCAGACCACGTTCGGTTCCTCTGTTCTTCTGTTGCTGGACACCCGTGCTGTCTCCACGTTCCGGCTACTATGAATCCTGCCGCTGTGAACATTTGTGTACAAATTTCTGTGTGACTCAAGTTTCACTTCTCTTGGGCAGACACCTAGGAGCAGAATGGCTGGGTCCTACCGAGGAGCCGGCAGACCGCCCTCTAGAGGGCCACCCCATTCTGCATCCCACCAGCGTTGGGTGGGTGGTCCGATTTCTCCACATCCTCGAGACGCTGGCTACCATCTGTCTGCGACAGCCGTCCACATGCGCATGAGGGGCATCTCACTGCGGTTTGATCTGCGTTTCCCTGAAAGCCACATGTTGAGCTTCTTTTCACATGCTTACTGGTTATCTGTCTCTTTTCTGGAGGTATGTCTGCTCAGATCCTTCACCCATTTTTTAATTGGACCCTTGATCTCACTCACGTTGAGAATACATAAAACCCTTGTTGTCGCTGTTTCTAATCAAAGTTCTGGCTACGAGTCCCTCACCACGTAAAAGGCTTGCACACTCTCTCCACCTGGCAGCTGTTTGGCAGGTGGGCTCACTCTCCCAGAGGTGGCGGTCCTCACTACTAGCGGCACCACCAGCTCCTGAGGGTTGCTGGAACTGTGGGTGCTCCGGTGTTGGTCCCTTCAAGTACCTGAGTGTTGCAGATGCAGCCCAAGCCTCCCCGTTCACCTTCCCGCCCAGGCAGGGGGCCCTCCTACAGCGTGTCCTCCTGTCGACAGCTCTGGCAAATGTGCATTCCGTGTCCCCTTGGGAAATTACGGCTACACATGCATTTGTATTCTGAATTCCAACGGCTGGCTGCACACCTCAGGGGACATGAGCGTGACAGCAGCTGGGAGTGGAGGATGCCCAGATCCTCCTGAGACCCATCTCCACCCAGCAGCCAGTGTTCTGTGCCTCTTCTGTCTGGGACCCTTCAATGCTGTCCCCAACAGTTGCCTGGATAAAGGCCTCACCTCCCACGCCTCCATCACCTGGGGCCTCAGAGACTCCTCCAGGCTGTCCCTTGTCTGGGACGCTCTCTCTCAGACCTTCCAATGTCACCTACACCGAGGGTCCTTCCAGGTAGCCCCTCCAAAGCAGCCCCCTCCCCATCATCTGTGTCTTTGGCTTAACATCAGCTTCCCGGTGAGAATTGAGCCTCAGAGACTCCAGACACAGGGCCCGGCATGCAGCAGCCAGGCTCTCTGCCTGCTGAGGGCTCAGGGAGGGGACCGTCTGTAGTCTGGCCAGTCCAAGGCAGCCTAACAGGTCACGCACACACCAGGTCCGTGCTCTGCTCCCAATGCCCACCTTCCCTCGCACCCATGAGCTATGCAGATGCTAGAGGCCTAGCCTCCTCTAGTCTCTCCGCCTCTCCTGCCATTCAGGGGCACGGGCGGGGAAGGGTGAGGCCCTAAATACCCCCCAGGTGACAAAAGACCCTAAGGCCCTGATATTTCCATCAACGAACCAAGTCCCTCCTGCCTCAAACCTAGTCCTAGACCGGTGGCTGAAGTTAGCAGCGCACAGCCCTGAGAAGTGGTTGGCCGAAAGCAACCACACCTGAAACTGACCGACAGGCAACATGTGGAGCAGCACCCTCACATGTGAACTTGCCCCAGTGACGAACATTCTCAGTCTCTGTGGTCCTGTCCAACACAGGAGCCAATGGTCAGAAGCGCCTCCAGAGGATGTGAAATGTGGCTTGCCACACAACACAGCTCTGGAGCAACTGTCCAGCTACAGGAAACAGACACAGGGGATGCCACCATGGAGCGGACACAGGTGCAGTCCAAACCCAGCTGCTCTTGGAGCCAGTTTCAACAAGTTGCATGAGGAAGGGAAAAGATGAGGGAGAGTGGACACCTCATCAGAAGACAAAAGACACGGACTAATTGCACCATGTGGACCTTATTTGGATCCTAATTCAAACGGAAAAAAAAAAAAAAAAGAGAGACAACCAAAAACCTAAACACGCTGGCACGGACGGGATTGGGGAATCGCTCACAGTCTTAGGTGTGACCACGGTGTGGCCAGACACCCCAAAATGCTTAGACGTCAAAAGACAGGACAGCTGGCAACTGCTTCAAAGACAGACAGAGGTGGGGCGTGGAGAGGCAGGACAGAGGGCGACGGGTCCATGAAGTTCAGCACACAATTTTGTCTACTTTTTCTGGGTCTGTTCAAATTCTCTACATAAAGCTTTAAAAACGGGACAACAGGGCGCCTGGGTGGCTCAGATGGTTGGGCGTCTGCCTTCGGCTCCGGTCATGATCCCAGGGTCCTGGGATTGAGTCCCGCATCAGGCTCCCTGCTCCTTGGGAGCCTGCTTCTCCCTCTGCTTCTCTCTCTCTCTCCCTCCCTCTCTCTCTCTCCCTCTGTCTCTCATGAATAAATAAATAAAATCTTTAAAAAAATAAAAACAGGACAACAGCAAAACTTTGCTGAGTAACATCATCTGTGTCAGGCCCCCTCCAGCAGCACTGTTAACCCAGGCGAGGGTTACCCAGGTCTGGCTCACCCAGGTCTGGCTCATGACAGAGGTACCAGGCCTGAACCCAGCAGGACCAGGAGAGAACCCAGTTTCCCTTGGGTTCCTGGTCCCCAGCCTCCAGAAATCTCCCACAGGCAGCTTCGGGGTGTAAAGAACAGCATGGGGTCTCCTCCGTTCCCCTTCCACTTGTGTCTCGGGTTCCATCGCAAGCTCAGAGGGGCCAGCAACCCTGGGAATCCTGCCAGCTTAGGCCAGGCCACCAGCTTCCAGGACCTCCAAAACCCAGGAGCAGATCCTACAGAGACACACGCAAAGCAACAGTTTTGGGCTCCATCACTGTGCCCAAGAGGCTCCAGAGCCTGCACCCGCTGCAGGCCCCTGACTGAGCCACCTGTACTGTTTACTTCCTACCCAGCTCAGCACCAGCTGCTGGGGAAGCAGAGAATAACCAGAAGAAACCAGGCCTGACCTCAGCAGCTCCCAGCCCACCAGAGATGGAGGTATCTTCACCACAGTATCCAGAAACAAAGAGCGGAGGGGTGGGGGTGGGGGGGGGTCTGATCCAATTATGCTGGTGCAGGCAAGAGGCCCATCTCCACAGAGACAGAGGGGATGGTGAATGCTCAAGGGGTCAGGTAGCAAAGTGACAGGCCCAATGTGACCCCAGCACACACCCCCCATCCCGCCCCGGGCCATGGCTCCCAGCTGATCCTGGAGAACCTGCTCTTCCCCCACCCCCATCCCACTCACCAAAGCCCCAAGGACATCCAGACTACCCAGGAGAAATACCCACCCCTACTTCACCCACTTACTCCCCAACATCCAAACTCATCTGAACACTAACCATGGGGTCACCTAATTAAAGGTGGCCATACACTGGAGGCACCCAGGGAATATTACAGAACCAAATTCCAGGACCCATCCCCAGATTTCACAAGCCTGAGGATGTTAAATGCTCCCCAGCGGATTCTAGCATGTGGCCAAGGACAGATGGGAGTCCTGGCTTCAGTAGCTGAAAGTGCCCAAGAAATCCAAAGAGGGCCATGGGAATGCAGATCAGCAGGCCCTGAGCCTGGCCCTAGCCCGAGGACAACTGTCTGCAAATCTGGGTCCCCTGCACCCTGTCCATTCCAACTTCGGGTCCTGAGCATCTCCGTCAATCCCAGCTCTGCCATGTGCTGGCCACGGCTTGTTACCTGGGCAAGTCACATCCCCTGAGTCTGTTTTCTCGTGTGTAAAAGAGGAGTTTTGTTTGTTTGTTTTTAAAGATTTTATTTATCCATGAGAGACAGAGGAGGAGAGAGAGAGAGAGAGAGGGAGAGGGAGGGAGGGAGAGAGAGAGAGAGAAGCAGAGGGAGAAGCAGGCTCCCAAGGAGCAGGGAGCCCGATGCGGGACTCGATCCTAGGACCCTGGGATCATGACCTGGGCCGAAGGCAGACGCTCAACCATCTGAGCCACCCAGGCGCCCTAGAGGAGTTTTCACTACCTATGCCTCAGAGGGCTAGGGGAGGGTCACAGCCAGAGCGGGGCACAGGGCTCACAAAACACCTGAAAACAGCTCTTCAGCATCTTAAACTACTCCTACAACCCTATCTGCCCACTGTCCCCAGGATCATATCAGAGCCCTCTGAGCCCAGCCCACCTCCCCACAACTCCCTTGCCAGTGGCACACTAGGGTGTACCTTAACACCCACACATGACCAAATGCAGCCTCCAGACCTTGCACACACGGTTCCCTCCTCCCGTCCTGAGGCCACCTTGTCACTCCTCCTTAAGCATCAGGCCAAGTCTTACACATCTTTCAAATCTTTGTCCAGACACCTCTTCCGGGAAGCCTTCCCCGCCATCCCAGACAGAGCTCTCCTCCTCCAGGCCTCCCAGGTGCAGAGCATCCCCCAGGCCAGGCTGCATTCTATTAGTCCCTAACTAGCGTCTAAGTGCCGGCCGGTTGCCTTCAAACACCTTCCACCCCGCCCCCGCGCGCTGTCTCAGGTTCCCCCATCTACTCGCGATTGCGGAGCCCCCCAGGTGGGGCGTTTCTGCGTTCAGAGAAACAGGGATTCTTCTGCTTCGCCCCGGCCCAGGCCAGGGGGGCTGAGGACCGCCCGCGGTCCCGGGTTTTCCTTATTTAGTCGGGCCGACCTCACTTTGCTGGAGCCTCGCCCTGGGAGAGGCCTGGCCCGCACTCCGTTTCCCCTTCGGAGGCCGGGGACGCGCCCACGCCCTGCGAGGCCCGCCAGGCCGGCGGCCTGCCCGGCCGGGCCTCTCCCCGGAGCCGAGGGTGCAGGCGCGCCGAGACCGCCCCACGCCCCGGGCGCCCCCGAGTCCCGGCGCCGTGGCAACCACCCGGCCCCCGGCGCTGGGTGGCGGGGTACTCACAGCGCGGTGGCGTCGGCGGGGATGCGCAGCGCGGGTCCGAGCGTCCGCAGTCCGCGGCCGGAGCAGTTGACGCGGCAGGCGGAGCCGGGCTCCGGGCCGCAGAGGCAGGGGGGCGCGCACGGCCTGCAGCCGCGCCCGGGGCCCCCCGCCAGCGCCGCGAGCCACAGGCCCAGGCCCAGGGCGAGCGCCAGGCGGGCGGGCGCGGCGGGCGGCATCGTCAGGGCAGCGCGCGCATGGCCCCGGCCCGGCCCCGAGCCCCCCCGAGCCCCCGAGCCCGCCCGGCGCCGGTGGCCGCGGCTCAGGCGGGGCCCGCGGACGGCATGGCGGGGCGCGGGGCGGGATCCGGCAGCGGCCGCGGCTTGTCTACCTGCGCGACGCCCGCTCGGCGCTCGGGCCCGGCCGCACTCTGCGTCCACCGCCGGCCAGTCGCGCGCTCGCGCTGCAGTGCGGGCCCGCCGCCGCCGCTCCTCCTCCTCCTCCTCCTCCTCCCGGCGCGGCGCGGCGGCCCGGAGGCCCCGCCCCTCGCTCCGCAGGGCGGCCGCGCACGGGGGCGGGGCGTCATCGGGCCCCGCCCCCTTCGTTCATGGGGTGGGCGGGGCGTCGCGCGGCTGCCGGCTCTCCTCCGCCGGGAGCGGCGGTGGCGGCGGTTGGGCCTCTGCGTTGCTGCCCTTCCGCGCCCTCCCGCGCCCTCCGGCCTCAGGTCCCCGCCGCGTCCGCGCCCCTCTGCCCTCCGCAGCCGCGAGCGTCACGGCTGTGTCAATACCAGCAATGATAACCCCCCTCTGTCCCGTTGCGTCTCCGCCGTGTTCCAAGCGCCTGGCACATGGTAGGCGCTCGGGAAAAACGCACGGCGTCCTCTCTTACCGTTCCTCCAGAGCGCCGGCGCGGTGTGGGGGCCAGTGCCCGCTGTCACAGAGGCGACGTCCGAGGCGGGCCTCAGCGGGGGTAGGGGGCCCAGGGCAGCATCCCCGCCGCCCACCTGCCGGCGGAGGGCGGGAAGCTGCCTCTGCGGCCAAGCGCACCTGCGTCCCACCAAATGTAAAAACGACGCACTCTCGTGGCTCTCGGGGCTGGGGGTGGGGAATGGGGAGTAACTGCTAGTGGGTATGAGGTGGATGCTTGACCTAAGCTGGCCGAGTGGTCACAGGGAGAAGTCCGCAGACTCCCACATGGGGGAGGACCCTATCCCACTGTCCTGAGACCTGGTGCCAGGCTACATCCCAAGACTTCGAGACTCCCTTTCTGTGTTCTCTCTCTTTAAACTAGCTGGTGAACCTCAGCTAAACCCACAAGTGCTGGGCCCATGTCCTGCTGCCTCTCACTGGGAGAGTCCAAGCAGGGTCACTGTGGGATACTGGCAGCTCTGCGATTCACCTGGGCATGAGGTGGCACCCAAATCCCTCACTGTCCTCATCTGTGTAATGGAAATAGCAAACCAATGTCTTAGGGCTGAAGGAGGATTGCATCCAGCTCAGGGCCAGCTCTCAGGAAAGATCCAAGAAAGAACAGGTGGGGTTCCTGTGCAGGCAAAGGCCAGGGATAAACAGGGACTAGGTCGCCTGCCATGTGCTGGCAGTCAAAGGATCCAGAAACAAGCAGAGGATCTCCAGGTGGCCCGGGTGGGGGGTGTTAGTCCAGCTCTGGCAGCTGTGGTCCCTTCTCAGGGCTCAACTCCCACAACGCCCTTTGTCTCCAACTCTGAGCCTCTTGGACCAATTCCCCAGGGGGAAGAGGGAGGGACTGTAGAGCCTGCGAACCTCTTGGGCTTCAGGAAAGTTTTTATGCAGAGTCACAGAGGAAGTGCTTGGGAACCCAGTTTGGAAACACTGGTATGAGGTCTAAGCCAAGATGGGGTTGATGGGATGAGGCAGGGGAAGGAAGGAGGAGCCCTAGGACTGGGAAGAGAAGGAGGAGGCTCAGATGCTGCCCTGCCTGGTGTTGGGTCCTGGGATGGGTGGAGATGCCCTCGGGGAGGAGGCACGTGGAGGGAAAGTTGAGGAGGAGGTTCTGGACACGTGGCAACTGAGGTCACTTGGGAAGGTGCCCAGAGTGCAACTGAAGCCAGGGTGTGAAGCTGGGAAGGGGTGAGCAGACCTGGGGCAGATGAAAAACTCCGGAGGCAGGGAAACTCATCCTAGAAGAGAAGAAAGAGGGCTGGGAGGGAGTCCGAGCAAGGGCGCCCCAGAGAGGTAGGAGGAAACTGAGGCACAGCATGTGGAGGTCAAGGGAAAGGCTACAGGGGAGAAGCCAGCAGGGGCTCGGGCTGCAGGAACAGAGTTGGGGCTGGGACAGTGCAGCTGCACATTGCCCCTTGGTCCTCCCTCACTGCACAGCCCCACATGTACCCCCCCTTGGGTCTTCCAGCACTCTCTACAGCCTCCCACCTCCTAGCCTTTCCCCATATTGTTCCCTTTGCCTGGAACACTTTTCCATCCCACCTCCATGATTATTCATGCTTGCTGAGGTGCCTCCTCCAGGAAGCTTCCCCAGCCCCTATTCTATGTGCTGATTTGCATCACACATTCAGGGGACACATATTTATGAGTTATCTACTGCAGGCAGAACATTTGTCCCCAGGTATGTCAGTGCCCCTACTCCTCAGGGTCATCCTGTCCCTCGATCCTGCCATGTCACCTGCACAAAGCTGAAGGCATGGAGTTCACCCATGACCTTTACTGAGGGCACCTTGAGTGGAGGGGTTAGATAGGAAGCCAGATGCCAGCAGGTTGCTGACAAGTGAGGGAGTGTAGATGTGGCATGTGGCCCATTGTTTCTAGAAGCTTAGATGTGAGAGGAAAGCGCAGTGGCAAAGGTTTTTTCTTAACATAGTAGAGACTTGAGGTTTCCACGCTGAGGGAAGAGTGCCAGCAGAGAGGGAGAAGTGAATGAGACAGGGAGAGAGCACAGGGAGTGGATCAGTGGTGAGAGCTTCTTGAGAGATGAGAGGAGGAAACTCATATCCTTCACTTCTCCGTCATTCATTCACTGTCTTATTCCACTGAGTCTTCACAACTCTGGGAGCTGGCTACTAGTCCTATTCCCTTTACTGAATGAGGTAACTGGGGTGTCTGGCTGGCTCGGTGGTTGGAGCGTGGGACTCTTGATCTCAGGGTCATGACTTCAAGCCCCACATTGGGTGTAGAGCTGACATAAAAGAAAAAGAAAAAAATAAATAAGGTTACTAAGCCAGAGAAAGTTTAAGAAATTTGCCAGGTCACACAGAAAGTAAGTGGTATTTCTGGGATTATACTTCCAACCTAAGCTTTTAATTCCAGTCAAGTGACAAAGTCAAGATAAGGGAAGACAGACCCATAAGAAACAGATGCAAAATGAGAAAAACAGATTAATCAAGTCTAAATGAAGTTTTGAAGGTGGTTGTGGAGTACATGCCATTGTTTCTAAAGGATTTCTGAAATAGGACATGCTTAAGCAAGAAATTATCTGGAAATGAAATTCTAGACTATTTCAACAAACAGAGAAAATAAAATGTGCCAAAGATCTTGTTAGATTCAGAGAGGAGGACATTGGAAGATTCTTTAATTATTGACAAAATAGATTTTAAGGTGGGATTTTAAAAGTTTTTTTTTTTATTTGTTTAAGTTATCTCTGCACCCAGTGTGGGGCTTGAACTCACAACCCCAAGATCAAGAGCTGCATGCTCTTCCAGCTGAGCCAGCCAGGCACCCCTTAAAGTTTTTAATTAATAGTTAATGAGGGGTGCCTGGGTGGCTCAGTTGCTTAAGCATCTGGCTCTCGATTTTGGTTCAGGTCATGATCTCAGGGTCGTGAGATGGGGCCCAGCATCAGGCTCTGTGCGGGGCATGGAACCTGCTTAAGATTCTCTCTCTCCCTCTCTCTCTGCCCCTCCCCACCTCTTTCCCTCTCTCCTTCTTAAACAAACAAACAAACAAACAAACAAAAAACAGTTATGATAACTGTTAGCATAAAAGGGAAAACTTGGAGGGGGGGGCACAAGAAAACCTGATCGGCCCAGGAAAGGATTACAAAAGAAAATAATGGATCAATATATTAAACAGAACAGGCAAAACAAGACCAAGCACATGGGTGATCATAATAAATGTAAATTAGTTAAATTTCCCTACTAAAGAACAAAGATTCTCATAATGAGAAGACATACTAAATCCAGGTAAATGCTGTTTTCAGGGACAAAACTAAGACAAATAACAAAGAATAGGAAAATAAACACATAAAGAAGGTAGGTTGGAAGTTTAATACCAGGAAAATAGAACTAAAGCAAAAGATTAAAAAAAGGGGGGGTCCTACTGAGCTGCTCTGCAAGTCACCATGCCACATGGAAGTCGGAGCCGCACCTCCCACATGGCACCTCTGGCCAGCTGGGCACCTCAGATGAGAGCGGCGCCTAGACCAGTGCCGGCAGCTCAGCCTCCGGCAGCGGCTCCACCAGCTGCTGTTGGCTCACCTGCTGCTGTGCCCCGGCAGCCAGGGCTCATGGCCCAGATGGCAACCACTGCAGCTGGCGTGGCTCTGGGCTCTGCTGTCGGACACACGATAGGTCATGCCATCACTGGGGGCTTCAGTGGAGGAGGCAATGCTGAGCCTTCAAGGCCTGACATCAATTACCAGGAGCCTCAGGGACCCCAGCCAGCATACCAGGAGCAGCAGCAGTTTGGCCCATGCCACTATGAGATGAAACAGTTTCTGGAGTGTGCCCAGAACCAGGGTGACCTGAAGCTTTGTGAAGGTTTCAGCGAGGTGCTGAAACAGTGCAGATTTGCAAATGGATTAGCCTAATCAAGAAGTTCAAATTGAAGATAAGGAAAATCATCTCTCATAACCAAGTTAATTTAGCATAAAAATATAATTGATGGTGAATGGTGAATATATAAAGTGTAAAACCACCAGTTAAGCTTCTCCTTCATCATTAAATACAGCTTTCTTCAGAATTGGAATAAAAAAGGTTGTTCTTATTGTATAGAAGTTCATTGAGATGGTTTGAATTTGGTGTTGGGCAGATATTTGTGTGCCTCCTTAAATCACCCTTTGTGATGTTCTCATTTGTGAATTAGAGTAAAGTGATTTTCTCCCCCAAAAAAAGGGGGGGTCCTTTATTTTTACACTGATGAAAGTTATAATTTGTGTAGAATATGTAATGACCCATTGCATTCTCAAAAATAGAACATCAGCATACACAACTGAACTATTAGAAATACACAAAATTGGGGCACCTGGGTGG